AGGGCCATACTGGTATCTCTGCAGATATTATATTTACTATCTATATATTGTTTTGAATGTCAAAAGTTAGATTGTTATAAGTTGTCAAATTTTGCAGGAACGGAAACGTATGGCTGTCTTAGAAGAACAGCAGAGACGGATTCAAGAAGCAATGGCTACGAAACCTCCCGTGCCGCCAGAGGATAATTTTGAGCTGAAAGCCTCAAAAGCCATGGGGGTCATGGAGGAAGGTGATGCAGTTTTCGGATCTGGTGCTGAAGTGAACCTGGATTCACAGGTGCCCTCTCGTTCCCATTATCTCTCTGCTTCATATCGTTTTTTATGCTCCTACATTTTCTACGAAGACCTTTACTCACGCCCCTGAAAAACRTGCAGGTTTATTGGTGGCATGATAAATACCGTCCAAGAAAACCGAAATATTTCAATCGGGTTCACACAGGATATGAGTGGAACAAATACAACCAGACTCACTACGATCACGACAACCCACCTCCAAAAATTGTGCAAGGATACAAATTTAACATCTTCTATCCAGACCTTGTTGACAAGACCAAGGCTCCAACTTACACCATTGAGAAGGATGGAAACAGCAGCGAGACATGTATCATCAGGTTCCATGCGGGGCCACCGTATGAGGATATTGTAAGTCTTCTTTTAATCTGCCATTGATTTCTTTGACATTTAACTCTATTGTATTTATTTATACTCAACAACATTTTCCTTAATCCTATTACAGGCATTCCGAATTGTAAACAAAGAATGGGAGTACTCTCATAAGAAGGGGTTTAAGTGCACGTTTGAGCGTGGAATTTTGCACGTATATTTCAACTTTAAACGATATCGTTATCGCAGGTAACACAAGGTTGGTCATGGCAGTTATCGAGTTGCAAAGGTGCATGTTGCTCTGTTGCAATCTCTTTCAAGGTATCTCGGTTTTTTACTTCATCAACTAAATTAAAAAGCAACCACTGCCAAAGTTTCCTTGTAAGTTAATGATGTGACATACAAAGCTGTAAATACACAATAGTTAGGTCCTGAAATTTTTGAAACTATTGCTTCAGGCATTTCTCCTTCCCAGCTGCCAGGTTTGATGCTCCATCCTTTATCTCTCTCTGTTTTTATTTTTTATTTTGGCTGCTGTTCAATTCCCAATTTTTGTTTGTTTATGCTGTCACACTTTGGTTCTAGTTTTTCTCATTTAAATATTGATCAGGTGATAATATTGGGTGGCCAAGTTAGTAGTCCACATTTCTATATGGTTTGGTAGTGGAAAAATTGCCAAAAAAGAACCATTTTCCATTTTAGCATTCATAATTCTTAAACCCCACATTCATAAAGCAGTTGATATTTAGTTAATGTTGCAGCTATCAAAGTTTAGATTATCATATTGCTTTTGACTAATCCCATTCTTAAAAAAGTGCTTTTTATTCATATGGCCGAAAAGCCAACAGCACATCTAATAGGAGCTTGGATCTTACTAYTATTATTWTTTTTTTGTTTTCTATTATTATTTCTAAATACTCGTTTGATTATGTTACGAAAATATGTGATTGTCAAAGTTATAGTTTAGCGATAATTTGTCTATATCGTCAACCAAGAGCTTGTAAGTTCGATCTCTCGTCCTGTACTTATAAAAGTGTGAATACTAGTCTTGGTCAATTCTTGTGGAAGACAATACTTTTCTTCTAATGTGGTAAATACAATTAATAAGAAATAGCATTAGCATTACGTAATATATTATATCAAGAAATTATCAAAAAATGAAAAGGCTTCTTGTAAAAGTATTTAAAAATATTATTGTTTTCTTTTTAAATAAAATTCTGACTATAGTTGAATAATTATTGTTTTTAAGAAGTTTTTTTTTTAAGATTTATTTAAAAAGTCTCTTTTTGTGTTTGCGTGGGTGTTCTTTTTTATTTTAATTATAAAAATAATAAGCTTGTGAATAGTAATTTCAACATGCAAAATAATATATATATATATATATATATATATATATATATATATATATTATCATAAATAGCATGTGTTGAAAACAATGAAAACATTTTATTAGATGTTAGAGTAAGAGTCTCTTGAAACTTAATGTTTTAAAAATAGTTTTGGCAAATACTTTTTTTTTTTTAGGGTAAAATATACTTTTAGTTACACAAATTTCCTCTCCTTTTCTTCCCAATGCTCGATGACGGCTACCATTGATGAGGAAACAATGCTCCAGAGAGATGTCGTGATCATGGGTTGGGTTGGGTGGGAGGTTTCGATGGAAGAAAAGGGGAGGGGGATTTGTGGACTATGAAGAAGGGGGAAATGAGGGGTTTTCACATTCACATTTACTTATAAATTTTGGAGGAAATTCTTAGAAATTTCTTTGAAAATTTAAAATTCTTTTGTAAATCTTATAATCCACTTGTTACAATATCTTTACAAAAATAAAATTATTTATAATTTTTAAAATAGAAGCAAAGTTTTACAACGGTGACCTTACAAGGAGAAAAACCTTGATTATTATAGTTGTAACCTTTTTCTACTTTTYTGCGTGAGGAGGTGGAAGTTCAAAATATGATTTTTAGTTTGAGATACATGTCTTAATCAATCGAGTTAGACTTAGATTGGCTAGTTGTAATCATTTTTACGATATTAGCCATGTATTTTTTATACTTCAATATTTATGTGTCAAACTTTTACATAATTTACCAAAAGCAATGCAATTAGAGAAAGAAAATGACCTTTTTATCCCTGTGAAAATTCTTAATTAGCTGGTGGTAAATACGCCTTTTCATTTGGTGGGGGAGGGAGAGTTTGGACAAAAACGAAAGAATTGATGGCATTGAATGAATATTTGAGTCTATTCAGAGTAGAAAGGGTGATTCATTTAGCAGAGTGGCTGTTTTCTATGGGAAAAAAGAAAAAGCAAAATGCAAAGTGGACCAAATTTTGATGTTGATATGCAAGAAAATGCACAACAATAGAACACCAGGGATATAACTACCATCACACTTCCCARAAAAATTCCTAAAAAAGTTTGTTTTTAGCTACCCATTCTAAATCCCCATGGATTCTCCTCATCAAAATGTCTTTGAAAATCCAAATCCACATTCTCTGCTTCACAAAGTTAGCATCTGATCCCAACTTGTATTTCTTTTTCTTTTCTTACCATTCCAGAATCCATCATTGGCATCTCCCATCTCCTTCCCATATCATTTTTACTACGAATATTGAAAGATTATAGCAAAGATTAGCATCAAATCTAGCAGTCTAAGACTTCAATTACGCTCTTCTGCAACTGTTTCTGGACCATCCAATATCTGGGTTACGTATTCGAGTTCTTGGAGCACATCCTTCATGCAAGGCCTTTCAGATTTCTTCTCCCTCAAACAGGAGAGTGCGAGCTCCAAGAAGTGTTTCACACAGATCAGAATGTTGCTGGGAGGATCGTTGCTGAGAAGCTGTTTATCGATGGCGTCGATGAACGCACCATTATGCACTTGTTGGATGACGTGGATTGCTAGATTGACACCGTCTTCAGCTCTTGTGAAATCTATGGCCTTCTGAGAGGTTAAAAGCTCAAGCAGGACGACCCCGAAACTGTAGACATCACTTTTATCTGTTAATTGGTAATTTCGATAGTATTCCGGGTCAAGGTAACCTAAAGTACCCTGTGCACAAGTTGAAACATGGCTTATTCCTGGCAAAGCCAATCTAGAAAGTCCAAAGTCTGCAACTTTTGCATTGAAGTTATCATCTAAGAGTATATTTGTTGACTTGACATCTCTGTGATAGATGGGAGGGTAGGCAGCTGAATGCAAATAAGCTAATGCTTCAGCAGTTTGTGAAGCAATTTTTAGCCTTTTTTTCCAGTCTAAGAAAGTGGAGAACTTACCATGTAAATGGTCATGGAGGGTGCCATTGGAAATGTATTCATATATCATCAATGGTTGCTCAGTTTCCACACAGCAACCTATAAGCCTTACAAGATTCTTGTGATTCACTTGAGATAGTATTCCAACTTCGTTGAGTATTTGCTCGGTGCTCTTTAGATTGCCCACTTTAGCTGACTTCACGGCTACAACAGTCCCGTCTTGGAGTTCACCTTTGTAAACTTCTCCAAAGCCACCGCTCCCTAGAACCCGGTCTTTCGAAAATTCATTTGTTGCTTTCCTCATCTCCTTCAGATGAAACATCCTGGCTGGTCTCCCACCATTGCTTGAACTCAGTATATCTTCTCTTTCTTTACAGAGCTTTTCCTGCTTACTGAAAGTTCTGGACTTCCGTACTGTAATTAGAGCTATAACCACAGCTAGAATGAAAAAGGAAACCAGACATACCGAGAGCTTTATACTGAGTCCAACCATGCTCTTCCTATTCATTCTTAGGCACGTTCCGAGAATATGATCCCAATAGTAGCTCTTTCTGCAAAAGCAACGGGAACGTCCATTGGAACCACCAGTAGGAAGACAATCTGATGCCCCACTGCAATCAGACTGAGTTCTGCAAATTGGTTCAGGTGGAGGAGCCCATTGAATTTCTAAACCTTCCTCCCACTGATTTGCAGGCTTTTCTAAATCCAGATGAAGGATGCTTCTGAATGCTCTACAGCCTGAGTTATGAAGCCTTATTTTATATGCTGAAGGCATACCACCAGGGATGAAGGTACAACAAGGGTCAACAACACTTCCACACTGAAGTGCTCTTTTTTCATCAACTCGTCCTGAACTAGCCAAGTAGTGGTGACAGAGACTAGAAGGAGTGCAATTGAGAGGCGAGACCAGCAGCCGAGGCGAACAGTTCAAGAGGAAAACTGTATTGGATGAAGTGATGTTAAAAGGAAGTGATTGGTTTAACCACAGGCCTTCACTGACCAACATGTCTTGAGTAACACAGGAGCCAGGAACCCATGGAGATGGTTGAATCACCATACGTTGACTCGAAGCGTTGATTTTGACTACAAGATATGAACTTCCATTGAGCGCATTGAAGTAGAGTTTCTGTGAGTGAGTATCACAGCGGAGAGTATAGTCCGAGTCACCACAGTTGGGATTGGTACTCAGAGGATAAGGAACTTCAAGGGGGCCACAGCTTGGGCAGGTTTTCTGGGAATAGCAGCAGTGACCAGAGAACAGAAGAAAGAAAAGGTAGCTTCCAAACAAACACGGTGTTGGGTTCTTCATAGTTGCCACGAATGAAAGGTCCAAATGAGGAAGAGCTGATTTATGGAACAAATTGGATCGAGGGTGGCGTAAATGGAGGACGGAGCTAGAGAATAAAGTAGGAAGACATGAACATTGAAAAGGTGGGAGATAGAATCTGTATAAGATGTTTTGGCTTTATATAGACTGGTGGATTCCTCTTGAATGGTGACAATAAAGGAGGTTTTTCTAGATGCATTTGTCCCCATAAGGCAAGCTACTYCCAGAAATGGCTTCCAAATTCCTAAAAAATTCTCATCTCTTCTTTTTTAACATAATTGAGCAACAAATCATGACAATAAAGAAAACCAGAAAGTTTATAATATTAAACAAGGTATTCTGTATTCTAATGGAACCTGCACTACCAACTCTCTCAGTTGCTTTCCATAAAGTACAAATGATATTTCATTAGATATGAGAATTAATTTATTATTTCAATAAAAATTAAATATTAAACATAATGGCCATGGACATATTTGGTTGAATAAAGAAGGCTCAAACCAGGTAAAATCTCCCTTCAGCACCAACTCTTGTACTTCCAATATTTGTTAATCCATATCACCAAGACATCGTGCTGATCGGGCCAGCATAGTTCTTTTCACTTAACCTTCAACGATTTTTACTGGAGACCTACATGCACAAAAAAGGGGTAAAAATAATCATAGTAGAAAAGAAAATCCACCTAAACACTGAAGAATATCAAGCACCACTACTTACCCAAATGGACTTTGTTTGATGGCTAGCAATTCCACATCCAACTACAGATCCAAAGGCGTCACAACAGTAAATCCATATAGTTGAACAGTAAAAAAGTAGGTAAAAATGTTCTTGTGGTTCTTTTCCCCCTTTCTACTAGATAGAAGTTCTTTAAATAATGATTTCTTTTACCATTGAAACAAGAATGAAAAAATCCTTTTCACCTAGGCTTGCTACTTATGAACAAATACAAGACTGGCAAAAGGTAAAGAAAGTTACCTCTATTGTTGCATTTGGAGGAATTTCCTGAACCCCTTTGCTTCCATAAGCTAACTCAGGAGGAACTATAAGCAATCTCTGAAAAATCAGATGAAGCAATTCAGCTAAACCCAAAAACTGAAAATCAGTAGGCTTTTGTAATGAGTCCTCAGTTAATCAATTCTCAATTGGTATCTCACCTGGCCTCCCACCCTCATGCCTTGAACACCTAGATCCAATCCCTTGAGGACTGTTCCTCTTTCTGATTGGCCTACATCAAATCCATAAGGCTGCAGCAATTCAAGCATGCCCACTTAAAAGCAAAATTGTAATATTATGGAAATAACCAAAACACTTACACTATCATAAGATCTGAATAAAGTTGTTAAAAGTGTTGAGTACTCTTATTGTTTAAAAGGGTTAACTTTTAAAAAAACTATAAATTGGTTTGGTTAATTTTACCGTTCCTCCACCAACACCAAGCCCTTGTCTACTTGTCATAAAGGTGATCCCTCTCCATTTAGCCACATAGTGAACCTACAAAATGACACATTATATTTTTATAATCCATGGCATCAAGTTAGTTTTTGTGACCCCACCCCACAAAATTGGACCTTGGTTGATCTTCTTAGAACACAGAATTTTGGATCAAATAGGAGAGCTTAAGTATGCACCGACATGCTTTACAGGCTAAAGAATAGAAACAGACTTGAGATGTAACAAAATTTATTGATTACCAGTCATAATTTACCAAAGAACTTTCTCGAGAATTTCAAGGCTAGAACAATTTCTTCATTCTTCTTTTGTGGCCATGGAATGCTATGGGTCAATATTGGTTAAATTCTTTGATGTGGGGAATTTGGTCTGAAAGAATCAAAATTTCAAGAACAAAAGTACTGTTGGAAGTAAAGTTTTGATCTAATCAAGGTTTTGTCGATTTGTTTCTATAAAATATCAATCAAAACTTTGTGTCTGTGTGTGTTTTTCTTTTTTTCTTTCTTTCTTTCTTTCTTTCTTTTTTTTTTTGTATAAAAAGAATAAATAAAAGAACTTTCTCGAGGGTAAAAATAAGAGCAAGCATTTACTGCCGCAGTGGGGGCAAATTGAACCAGAGTGTAATTTTCTCGGGTCCAGCATTGGATTCCATCAGAAGACTCACGGGTTGTCTAACATTTCAGGAGAGAATAAACAAACATTCCAGAATGATATGGAAGTTATTCTTCTAAAAGGTGGCATCTTAGAAGTATCAATCAGGAACAAGATATGTGCATTTTGTGCATAATTCTCCGTGTTCAAAGATTTATGGTCTTTACACATGGTCGATATATTAGCCGTTCTGTTTCTTTTCGAAAAGTGGGTAAGAAAACTTGTTAGAAGAATATAAAAATACAGCTAGCTCACAACCGTACTGCAACACGGGATCCAATCACAGCCTTAGTTCCTCCTCCAACCTTCAAATCATAGTACCTGAAGGATACATTTATTTTCTGAGTTTCAGCATATGTTGCAGAAAAACAAGACCACAACCAAGTTCCAACCCCATCTTAGAATTAGCAAGATGAGTTTAGAATATTTAATAAGAAAGAGAATCTCCAAATGGGAGTTATTCCAATAGAAGAAATTTTAGAACTTTGTGTAGATTATCATCACCGACACCGATGATGCATCAGCATATTATTTAAAGGATTAAAACATCATAAGAGACAATAAAGAACTACAAAAGAGATGAGAAAAATAATATAAAAAGGAGAAAATTTTATAATAATGGTAATGAAACTTACTTGAGACCATTTGGGAGAGTTGTAAATTCACTTTCAGGTATTTTTGCTCCTCTTAACTGTAAAAGTAGAAGCTTTTCTAACACTCCATGGAAAAAACACCAAAATTATGCTAAAATTATTCATTACGAATCAAAAGGGCAAAAGAAAAAAAAAAGAAAGGAAATAAAGGCAGAAAAAGAGAAACTTACAGCCCTTCTACTTGTGCTAACAGCCTCAGCCACATTGCAGAAATATATGCCAGCAGCTGAAACAAATGGAGGATTCTCAAAAAACAAACAAATTAGGAATCTACGTATGAATGGTGCAAGAATTGTAGAACAAGTGTTGAACTTATCAGCTGAGGAGGAAAAGAATGAATAATAGTTATTACCAATTTCGTAACAACAGTACCAATCATGGATTAAATCCCAACTATGCAATCTGCACACATTTATAGGTATTTACCCTGTTTGTAAGAATGTCATCTCTTTTAGCACTGTAGTTTTCATTATTAATGAAGCATGCATATCATTTGAAATGCGTCTGAATCAAATAGTAATGCTGCAAGACACCTCTTCTTAAACTCATTTCCATTTTCCAAAACCCAAGAACTTGATCATATAGATACTATGATCTTGTTCCCCTTTCTCATTACTATAGCTTTTCTTCTCTCATATCCAGTTCGAGAAGTTTTTTGTAACTCCCTTAGATGGCGTGTTACTCCTCTTTGTAAGAGAGAGATTTCTCTAGGCCCGTGACTGGAGAGACCATGGTCTACCTTGTGGTGGATGCCAGCAACCATCTCATTTCCAGTCGTCTCTGTATTAGGATCGACTACCTAAAAACTTAGTACATATCAATTTGAAAGAGACATTTAACAGTTAATTATGGCTCCAGATTTCATTACAACTGTAAATTAAACTTCCTAATGAATAGGATCAGAAAATCCAGCAGCAACAAGAACATTCTACATCATAAATGCCACAGACTCAAAACGTATCCAACAACATCGACAACCATCTACAAATTCTAAAGACAGTGCAGCAGAAATTATAGAGATACCCGCCGAGAGRAAAGAACCAATCAATGCCCTCCTTCCGTCACACCGCACCGATTCTTTGGGTTGTTCTAAAGGTTCTTGATGTGGGGATGATAACGAGCAGCGACAAGGGAAACGAGATGGACGTCTCTTCCCTGCAGATTCAGAGAGAATCACTCAGTTTTAAAGAGACCCAGAAAAAGAAAACAGGGAAGAGAGAGAGAGAGACACCGATAATGGCGAAGGGGTTAAAGGGCTTCTGGAAAATAGTTGGGTTTTGTTTGTAGGAAGGAAGAAGAAGGAAGAGCTCCATCCGGGTTGGTTAGTGACAGTTATGAATTCTGGGTTCCTAAAACTTCTTCTGAAACTGTGTGTTCAGAGAAAAATGAAGATGATATCCAAAATCTCATCCACAATTTCAGGTGCCCCCACCTCATGTTCTCTCACATTACACACATTGATCATTCACAATTTTCTGTCTCACCGAGTCACTGATTTTTTTCTTATTTGATTGTCACTTTCAAGTTATTTATTATAGTCATGTGAATTTTCGTAATAGATTTCAATTTTATTAAACATTTTTTAATATTCGAAACTTATTAAATATAAAATTGAAAATCTAGAATATGGAGTATTGACTCTTCATTTCTTGGCTTTTTGGATGGGGGCTCCTCCTCGAGTGAAATAGAAAAATGGTTGAATAAGTTTCTATCAACTATCCATCAATTTCTTATTACAGCATTCTCGATCATAGAATTCGGCYTGAAGGGTCAACCCGACTTTCTAAAGTTCAAAAACTTATTAAAYATMATATTGGAAGTATATTAACTTGGTACAAGTGAGAAACACATATATAGAAAAAATTTAGATTTTATTTACAGAATTTGTAAGACACACTTTGAAAGTTCATAATTTTATAAACAAAACTCTCAAAAATTTAGAGGTTAAACTTAAAATTTAATCTTATAGGTTGATYTATTGGAGAACCGGGCATTCAACTAATATTAAGAACTTTTCATATCGGCGGAATATTCACTGGGGTACTAGAGAACATATACGAGCTCCTTCTAATAGAAAAATAAAATTCAATGAGGATTTGRTTCATCCCACACGTACATGTCATGGGCATCCTACTTTTATGTTATATAGATTTGTATGTAACTATATATTTTTTATTGCAAATAACACTCGAACATATTTCAACGATTTCTATTCTGATTTCTATTCGAAGTCAGAAGTACAAATTACCACTACAATACCAAAATAACATATTTTTGCAATGTTGTTTTATAATTTATAGGATAGGATAAAGAGCTCATAAACTCATAATTAAATGAAGTAAATTACATTATTTTTTCCCCCAAATACAAATTATATGGATGAATTTTTTATTTTTTATTTTTTCCTTTCTTTAAGGTTTCTCATGCTTCTCATTCTGGTCTGATTTTTCTTTCCATCTTCTCATTACTACCCCCCACACAGCTTATCCTTGGAAGAAGCTTTGGCCTTGTGGAATTAGTTTTAACAGATGAGAATTCATTTTTATCCAAATTTTTGCCTTTTATTTCTTGCTTGACTCCCTCATTTCCTTCTACTTCCTCATGAATTTCTTTATGATTTTGCTCTTCTTGATCATGGTTTCTTGATAACCCTTGCTTTGAGAATGCATCTTTCAACTGTTTGAACTCATTTGAAAGCTTGTTGAAATCCTCAACTGTTACTGATCTTTCGTCTGCTTCAACCTGCAAAACAAGAAATTTAAAACCCGTAACTTTCTTCGAACCCGAACACGTACTGTCAAGGGTACGGTTAAAGTTCCACGTCGGAGGTGAGAAAATTTATCTTTTGTGAGAAAAAACACGACTAAATATATGTCATAGTCCCTATAGTTTAAAAAGATCAAATTTAATTAGTCCCTCGTATGTTAACCGTTTTCAATCATATTCATCCCGTTTGATAAATGTTAAAATTTGCTTACGATAAACTTGTCGACACAATATTTAGTGAGTTGGCAAAAGTTGGGAGAAAGAATCAAGCCGTCTAAGAGATGGTAGTTTCTAATCCCTCCAATTTTTTTTAGAAGTTAACATAACTTTCGACTTTTCTTCTTTTAAGTGGCTAAATTGATCTTTCTAAAAAATTTAGCTAATTTTATTATGTGTACCATACCACGTAGGTTTATTATTAGCCAATTTTAATATTCATCCACGGAAAAAGTTGTAATTGAGAAGTACCAACGGAAAAAGTTGTAATTGAGAAGTACCAAAGCATAAAGGAGTTTTACATTGAAAAAACACTAATACTAAAACCTATTTTTAACCAAAAAAAATATAGTTGAAAAGCAAATCCACACAAAATTAAGAATATTAACAATATCATACCTCATACCAACATTGAATCAATATTTTAAGAACAGCTTTGTGACTTTGAATCTTCTTTGACATATAAAATATTCAACAAAATTGAGACATGGGTTTGATTCTGAATGAAGATTTTAAGGAAAATTTTTTTCACTTTTGAGAAAGAAGTTACAATTTGAAGACAAAATACAATAACAAAATTGTGTGCAAAAGACAGAGAGAAATGAAACCTTGAACTTGGCTGAAGCTCTGTTCTCCTCCTCTTGCAATTCTTCTAATTGCATTTTCAGCTCTCTTACTTCATTCCCCAGCTTCTCTATAACCTTCTTCTTTGTTTCCATTTCTTCACCATTTCTCCAAACTTCTGCTTTAATTTCTTCAATCTTCAAATTCTTCTCTCTTATGATCTTTGATTGCTCCTTCAATTTCTTTCTAAGTTTCTTTACTTCTCTGTCAAGTAACTTGTTTTCTGATTTTTGACCTTCAAGCTGCTCTGAAACTCCCAAATATTCTGATACCAAACTCTCAAACTTTTTGTTTTCTTCCTCCATTAACAAGATCTCCCTTTCCAAGAAACTGATATGAGCCATGTCCAAAACCAAAGTGTTCCTCAGCTCCACCAGCAGAGATTCCCTCTCTTTCAAATTCTGGTACCAAATGAACTGCCTCTCTATTTCCACTTCTTTTTTCTCAAGATCTTCAACTCTTCTTCTTAAGCCTGAAATGACCTCTTCTATACGATCCTCGGATTCCGAGCTCGAACTTTCTTCTTCCTCCAAAGATAGTGAATTTGCAGAGTTCTGGCTGTGCAAGTTCTCGTTTTCTTTGAGCTTTGATTTGGGTTTCAAAAGATTTGTCTTGCTCTTGTAGATAGAGGCTGGAAATCCACCTCTTGACATTATAATGGCACATACGCTGCTTGCTGCAGATAGAGCTAGAGGAATGCCAATTTTGTAAAGCATTGGCTCAAAATTCCCGAGTTTTGACGTTGTATTCACCATCGAAAAATTAGTTGGTTCGATATCCCGTTGCTTTTCTTGAAAGTCCTTCCCTTATTGACYGATTGTAAGCTGAAAGGATTCAAACCTCTTGCACCCAATAGCTTGTAGATGTGCCTTAATTCTTTGAGTTAAAAATTCTGACTATTTAGAGCTTTTATGATCAAAATGGTATTGAAGATTCTTTACTAATGTGTCAAGTGAATTGCCTTTGTCTATAATCCTTTGCTTTTTTACCACTCCATGGCTTTGAAACTTTCTTTATTAGCCTTGGAATTTGAATTTCTTTGAGTTGAATCAACTCTGGTTTTAGTGGATGAATTAGGATTTCCTATTATTCTATTCTTATAATTTAAATTTAGCTAACCTTAACAACTCGGAGATATGAGAGGTTGAACCTTCGACTTCGAGGGAAGGAGTACCAATTACCACTACGCTCATGTTGACAAATTTAGCATAACTTTTTAACTAGCGATGAATTGAATAAAACACTTGTTGACCTTTTCCATCCCCACACATTTATTTTTTATTATATTTAATACAAAGGTAGAGATTTGGCGAAATATTACCAACAATGAACATAGCTCAACAATTAAGGCAACTTGCTCCTAAAAAACAAAATATTACTACTACAAGCTAGGGCAACGGTGACTGCCCAACTCAACTTTGAAATTAAATTATAATAAAGACAAATTATTAACACAAGAAATGATCCTTCTAGGTTACCTCGGCCTGATGGAGGAGGGTTTTATTCAGAATCTGGCCGATATCCAAAACATTATGAACTATCCCARCTCAAGCAATTTTAGTCATACCAAAATCACTTTCAAACATGTCTTGATGTTTTATAATGATATAGAAGTGATTTTAGAAAGTGACATAGCTATACAAAAATAACTCCCAAACACGCTAAGAAAAAAGAAGCAATTAAAAAAAAACTGAAATCACCTKAAGTTTGAGATGGAATCTGACCCCATAGGTTTGCTTCAACAAAAGCTGTCAAGATACTAGAATGGCTCAAATGGAGACACACTTTAGAAAAAACAAAAATAAAACCAAACGTAGACCAGAAATCACAATAATTTAGGAATTCACAGTTTCATMAAAATTATCTTCGAATTCTATCAGACTTTTCCTTCCAACAGGGTGAAACTGGGGCATGGCCTGAGATGAATGAGTTCAAAGAACAAGCCTGCCGCCTTGGATGTGCACTGCTTACAGACTTGTAAATAAGAGCGATTATCGCCCACGTATTGAGCACTGACCGATAACTAGAGGTAGCTATGGACTAACCAGTTGCRAGCCAGCATATATCGACGTGAGGAATCAGCAGTAATGATTAACAGACTCTGAAGCCACAGAAAGGGAGATCAGAATTGGTGAACGTATTCATCAAATTACAAGTTTGGTCCTGAACTTTTAGGATTTTGTTTAATAAACMCCAGAGCTTTTAGAGTAGCATTTAATAGATCCTCGACCTTCAATAAAGGAGTGTTAAATAAGTGCCTAAACTTTTAATGTCGTATCTAATAGGTCATTAGATCTCTGAATTTTCAACTCATTTTGACCCATTAGATATTTTATAAAACTCTCTATAGACACTTTTTAACATTCAGGAACTTAGACTTGTAATCTGACCTTCCTACAAACATATATATGTACATCTACCATGCCAAATTTTTGAATTGGTACAAGAGTTAACGAGACGTTTATTGTGTCAAAAAGAGGTTCAGATTTCAATTAGGAAGGATGATACTACATACCTCACACCAGATACTTTAAGAAAGTTCAAATCCTGAGTTGGAATTGATCGCATAGAGAAGCTTCAATCTCAAAGTGCTCGAACGTTTGTACGTAGGGAGCTACATGCAAAAAAGAGTATATAGAAAGAAAGGTGCAGATAATTAGCAGTTAGAAAACAGAAGAATTTAGGACATCACGGAATCCCTTATTCATGGTTAATCTACACTTGCACAATCATTAATTGTCAGTAGTGAGGTCTGTTTTTTCTATCAACTTTTGTACTTAAAATTTTTTTATTTTTCATGCAGATTCTTTCCATTTGTTGGTGGTACCTTGAGAGTATTGTAGCAAGTGGAAGCTGTTGGAAGCCGCTCGACATCCTGACCTCCTATGGAAGCCCATATCGGTACATCACATGAAACCTACAAGAGATTAAATTTCCATCTCAGATTTATCAATAAGTAACATTTTCTCCGTTATCTAAGATTCTATGCAGYCTAAGTAGCTCAATTAAAGTTGAGCACGGTATCACACGTTTACATTAGACTGTCCTTATCAGTTTAATATACTGATCAGAAGGAAACCCTCGACTCTGGGATTTAAAAAGAAACAACCCCAAACCCCAACAACAAACGAAAATGGTGAATAAAAATCCTATAAAGTATGAGCTGAAGAAATGCAACAAGAAACTTCAGATCGATAATGCACACCTTATGAATGGTAAAAGCCGGCTGCAGATATTTGAACCCAAGTAATGGAGCTCGAGAACAACTGGTGACAAATTTAAGAAGCGAACAACGATCTTTTGGTTCAAATCCTTTAACAACCTGTACCATTTCCCCCAACCCCAAAAAATATTAACAGAAAAATAAAAAACGAAAACGGGAGCAGCGCAAGGGGGAGAACAGAATACATCACAGGGCCGAGCATGATTAATTCCAATTGCCCTATAGCATGAGCTTTTTTTTTCAATTTTATTTTTATTTAAATACTGGTGTTAAATTTAAGGCAACAGCGTGATGCAATTGCAACTTTAAGAATTGATCTTTCTTCTACGTTGATACGTTTTAAGCATCAGCAGGAGGTTCAACAATATAAAAAAGATTTTTTTTAATCATATTTATCCTACCATCAGATCATAGAATTATCCAATTATACACAAGCATGATCTCTTACCAAAAATGTGAGCATGCATTTTATCTGCAAATTTGAAAGCCACAGATTCCAGCAGTTTTTTTTTTTAAATTATTTTTATTTTCAGTGAGCAATATCATATAGTTTTTCAATTCAATTGTCAAGGCACTCAACCTCTGTCCCCCCGTTGTCCCACACAGCAGACCTCCCCCAAGTCACACGCATGAGCAAATGCAAAACAGAAGAAAGATTTAATTGTGAGACACGCACAAGGAAACACAAGCTTCATGTTCTCTTATTTCTTAGGATTCGATAGCTTCAGCAAGAGATCATGGTATGGACAATCTTAGTAAGAAGGTTGTCCATCCACTCATATTTTTGTTATTAATTTTACCAATGATTTCCTTGTTTCTTATCACAAAATTTTAAAAAGGCCTTGGAAGATATCCATTTATATTTTTTTAGTTAACGTAGTAAACGATGTAGATAGGACTTCATGTGCACTATAGACTGATTGAAACCATTTCTTAGACCGAATAGGAGATTCTTTTTTTCTTCTAAATTTTTCCTRCAATATTAAGTTATGGCATAATTCCTAGATTTACAAAATTTTTTTGACAATGATTATAAATTTAAAGCAAAACAAATCAAAGTTCTAGGATGGTGAAGGGGAGGAGCTCTCTTGTGTCAAACGAGAGGAGCTACAGAGAAAAAAGAGTACCCTTTCTCTTACGGTGGGGCTGTAGGGGAACTCCTACAGTGAAGGAGTTTARTTAGGAAAAAAAAAGGGGGGACTGGCAAAAAGGAGAGAGCGCGTGCGGATGTACGTGTCAGACAAGGACAATTAATTATTATTAAATATATTGCAGGTTAAGAGTTTCTTCGAATAAGGCATCAAATCAGTTAGAATCAATGCAGAAAGTTAGATATGAGTTATAACTATGAGAATGATAACCAAGCATTGCAAGTTATCGCTCCAGAGTTTATACCTCCCAGAAAATATTAATAGTTCGGCTGCCCTCTGTGTAACCACCTGTATATCGTGTATTACTCCTCAAATCATCAACGTCAATGTCATGGTTTCCACCTGAAAGCAACTACAAAATGGGATTTATATTAAAAATAAATAACAAAATGAAAATGAGGAAAAAGAAATAGTCTTTTCTAGTAGAGCCTTTTTTTCTCTCTCACCGCTTCTAAGAATTACCAATTAACCAAATCATGGGCCTCTTCAAGGCCTAAGCACTCAACCTTGCTCTTGGCTTACCATTGGCATCAAGAATTTGTCAATTGTGAGGACATTTTCAGCCTTTCTGCCAAAACTTTTGCAATAACTTTCATATGTTCCAGTCAGTTATGGAGAAGGCTTTAATTTTCTTAGGAAGTTAGGAACCATGCAAATATTACGTCCCCTTAGGCATTTATTGATGGCACCATTTCAATAAAATCTTGAAACATCGAATGATGTCATACTTGATGGTTTTCTAAGAGGTTTTTTTTTTAAAAAATAATTGGACATTTCCCATGAAGCTATGCAGACTAGAGATTTAGGACTCCCGATACTAGCCCCAAAGATCACAACATCTTCAAAAGGTCTTTCAGACCATTCCTTATTACCTTGAGATATAGGACTCCCCATGGAAGCCCTCAAATATAAATCTGTCCCCAACGTGTTTCTTGTAAAGGAACTAGTAGAAGCTTTCAAAGGTTAAGGAGAGATAAATGATCGATTAATTCGCTAAACATCCTCATTCTTTTAGTAATTCTCTCTCCTGGTGGCTTTGGCACCCATCTTGTAGTTGTCACGCTGATGTCTCCAGCCAAGCACCCCATGCCATCACAGCCACCAGCAAGGTTCTCTAGTCCTGCCCTAAATGAGCTCATACATGGAACGAAGAGGGGCCATAAACTCCTGTAGTCCACCACAAAGTCTCATTGGCCAAAGAGAGTTTTATGGAAAGAGATAAAGCCCATTATAAAACCTCATAAACTGGGACTCTATTTTTTATCCGAAGGATATTTTTACCCCAAGCTGTTCCATGGATTGGATAAAGGACAATCCAGTGTCTTAGCAACTCCATGATGACTTGACTTTACTCTTCTCCACACCTTCTTGAGGTTGGACTCCTGAAGGGTTCCCACTCTAAGGGCAATTATTTTCGCTGCTCCCTAAATCCAGCTGGAACACTCTTCCCTCATTCTCCTYGATGGGCTCCATTTCCAACTGAAATTCCAATCCTGAAAACATTACGAGTTTCCGAAACAACAAGACTATTTCATTCTCTAACGACAACGGTCATGTTTTCCTCAAAGAGGGAAGGCATGTCTCCTTGCAGTTCTGGGGGAAGTCTGAAGAGTTGCTTTCATCCAAGGTGTTTTCTAAACTGCTAAAGAAAGGGAAGTTTTCCTCTAGGTGTAAGATGGAGGAAGATTCAAAACCAGCTTTCTAAAAACAGGAATAGTAATTTATTGTTTTTATGTAGATCTATTTATATTTTAAAATTAACTGCTTATTTATAGTTATTAACCTTTTTTTTTTAGTACGTTTATAGCTATTAACTGTTGTCTTAAGTATAACTTGATTTGGATGTGTAATATTTTTAAATTCACATGAAGAAATATATGAAAATACAAGGACAAAAGATGTCTTTTCAAACAGTTTTTAAAATAAAAAAAAAAAACAATAGGGAACAGTTAAATATATCCAAACAGACTCTTGCTACCATTGGAGAGAACATTTACTCACAAATAGCACTCTGCCATCGATCCTAACACAAGCAGAAGATTAACTCCAGTCTCCAACCAATAATTAAATCAAAACTGACTAAAAGTATACATCGCTAAAGCACTAACATAAATAACTGGAGAGGCTGAGAGGGAAGAAAGGAGCTATTCACACAGAGAACGAGATGAAAAGAGAGAGCACCATCAAGAAATATCTTTAAAAATAGATCTTTAGCATCACATGCATTACTACAATTTAGTTAACAATAGGGGAAACCAAGTCTATAGTGAAGAAAAAAATGAAGCGCATATGATAACAAGGAAAATAATGTATACCTGATTGAATTCACTTGCATTAAATAACTTCAACCAAGACGGTGATATAAGATCTGTTAAACCCCTATAGAACGCATTTGAAAAAGGTAGCATCTGCAGTTTAACGTGGAATGAACGTAAATTGGAATCAAAACAATAATTTCTGCAAAGCATAAAAGAAGAACCACTGCTGAACCATTTATTTCTTTTTTGGTGAGTTGAGTGATTAATTTATATTTCCTTAATAATTCAAACCATGTATGGATAAGATTCAACTGAACACACAAAAAGTGCAGCCTCACTTCTCTCAAAAATAACATAACCATCAGACATGAATTATCACCTAAAAAGGAAAAGAGTACATAATGAACAACCAATGACCTGTCGATTAAGTTTATAATCAGCAATTGCGTGAACATACTGCATCTTATTCTCATTTGTAACAGAAACATCCTTGCCACGATGTTTAAGCTCGATAATGTGTCGTTTGCCAAATGATTCTTCAGTAACAGTGAAATCCAGCGAGAGTTCTTTGACGTCACCATCATAGGACTGCCGTACCAAGAGATGGAACAATTAAAGTTTAAAAAACAATTATCTTTAAGATAAATATGCGCCTTTGCCTATTTCATTAATCATATTAAACAAAAAGGGTCTAGAGAATCAAAGGAATTAGACATAGCTTTCAGCAAAGGCTTAACCAATCAAGAACATGCATTATTTCGGTTATTGCACAGAAATTTCCCCATAACAGTTGGCACGTCCAACTTTTTCAGCTACACGTTCTTCTCACCTCTCATTCTACTGAACAGACTATCCAACTTTAAACTAATGACCTTTTGCTTGACCTTTTCCTTTTTCCCTTTCCACTACCATGCCCAACTCTTGGACATTAGATGGAAGTACAGTTACTGAGATGATGCTTCGAGCTGCTTCCCATCATACTAAACAGTCTGCCTCTCATCTGGGTGAGGTTTTAACCTGACCTGATGACCTAGGTCTCAATCAGTTCGCATAAGAAAATACATGTTTATTGCTTAGCCTTAACCCAGTCGAAGAACTAGATAATCATCTCATATATTCATATAAGCAGCAAGTTTTCAAGCATTAGTCTTTGAATTTGATACTTCTCTCACAAAATATTCTCATTATCTGTCACTTCCAGCACACAGTAAAAGACATAGCACCACATTTTTAACTCCATCACAGGCCAAAAATAGAGAGTTAGAACACTCTTCCATTCTCCCTCTTTCTTATATATAATATTCATCCAAAACCAAGATCCATCTCAACACCTACAACCAGTCTACTCATTTTTTGTTGTTTATTTATTAAAACTAGCATTATTTCTTTGTGAAAGCATATGCCTTTCATGTACCTTTCCATTTTTTTTTTTTTTTGATAACGGAGCTTTGCTTCCCTGTAACTTTCCATTTTAATCATGTAAAAAAATATTCAGACATTCAACTTCAGAAAAAAAAGAAAAGAAAAAAATAATACAGAAATGGTAAAGAAAACCTGTAATACTACTAGGTGGTCATTAGGGAACATTATATCATAATTTTTGCTTGTCCTTGTATATCCGAATAATTTACCTTGACATACATGAGATTCCTGTAGAGCTCTGGATCAAGTGTTGATAGCTCATCAAGGAAGCTATACCGGCCTAAGAGCTTATGGACAAAAACATGTGAAAAGGAGTAATCAAGCAATATTCCTTCATAGAGAGCCTTTCCAACAACTCTACCAAGAAATTCAATCATCTGGATACCATTGTCAAGATATCTTGCAGATGCATTGGGGATGAGAAGTCTGTCTGGAGTAGAGGTTTGAGAGAACAGTCCATATCTAAAAGTGAAGGAAAACAAAATTACTTAGATTATTGAAGGGAGACCTAGAAAGAAAGACCACAATGATTCTATGCATTTTGTCCAACTTACTCTGGCGAAAATGCTGCTTTAGCTATATCAGTCAAAAACTCTTTGGATAATCCACCACAGTCTTGGCCAGCCTCAGGGAGGCCACATTCACTAACAAATGAAACGTGGATAGCTGATTTCAGCCTTGGCCCAAGGGAATTTAATTGTCTGAATCCATCTTCAACAACATGGCTACGACGGACTACAATTTCGAATGACCGTGATGCAGGTCCACCAACTTCTACAGCCATTTTTCGGGAGACTTTGTCCATCTTGACAAACTCTCTGAACATTTCAACTCTGCCAGATATAAAAAGAAGAGGAGATGAAAAGCCTTTGATGCGAAAAACAAAATCAAAGACTTCTTTTTGAATTTATAAGTGCTTTAGAAGTTTCAATGAGCATAAGCAGCAGAAGCATGTCATGTTTCAGTCAAAGATCTGAACGAATTTCTTGTATAATGTATTTGGAAAGGGGAAAGGACTAATTTTTCTTGAAAAAGAAAAGGAACAAGAATAAAATTTTAGATAAAACTATTAACGAGAAAAAAATAAAAGAAAAATGTAAAATGTAAATGGTGAGTGGAATTTTTGTGTTTGTTTTGTGAGAAAATAAGAAAATAGAAGCTTGAGCATCATAGAAGGCCATATGAATAGTTTGTAGATAATGAAGAAGAAGAAGAAGAAGAAGAAGAAATCGCTCTTATGCCGTGGAGCCCTATAGAGTACTGGACTTCAGAAAACCATCCATCGTATTTTTCAAGAACGTAATCAAAGCAAAGTATCTAAACATAAAGGATGTAGAAGCTGAGAATTGTGCAAAAAAAAAGGTCAAAGTGATCGGTATGAAAACGAAAGGAAGAATGGCCTCATAGAAGATGGCATAAGGAATTGAGTAGAGTAAAAACCTCCATGTCAACCACAGAGGAAAAAATAACTCGGCATCAAACATGGAGGTCGTAACACTCAATTTGGTATCATATGGAGGTCAAACCACTTCTGATGCTCAATTTCAACACAGTATATGCATCCATGTCAGATGTTCATAACTTCATGTGCCCAATCCCCTCTGCTCATGCTCATATATTCATAATCTTTCACATCAATATATGCACAGCAGGCAAGAATCAAAGCAAACTAAAAGAAATCAGATGAAAAAGCTAAGCACTAAAGGCTGTCAACACCCATGAAAAGTGCACCAAATGCACAATGTCAAGTTTTATATTTTTCCACCTTAGGCAGCAGCTGAAGGAAATATCACATTTCTTGTTGAAAAGTTTTAAATATAGTCTCCTTCTGTGGGGAATCACCCACATACATCTTTGAGGGTTTTGAAGATTCTTTAGAGTCAATGCAGCCAGACCAAACAAGACAGGTTTTTTTTTTTCAAAAAAAGAAACCATACAGAATATAATAAATGAAAATTATGGAGCAGAAGTTGTAACAGGTTTAGGTTCAACTCAGATTGAAATAGTAAGGAAGTTGAAGTGGAGGCAAGTCAAAATCAATGAGTAGCAAAGCTTCACAGCATAAAGAAAATAATCCTTTTAGTTAATAATCTCACCTTTCCTCAAATGGGAATACATGTGGTGTGGTAGTAATAATCGATCCTACAGTTGGAACTGTTAAAGTGTCATCTGCCCTTAAATTATCTGATAAAGCTTCGTGAGTTCTTGCAGCAACTGCAACAGGTGGTCTACTTGTTCTAGCTGGTGAAAGCCATAGAATAGGAGGACAGAATTGATGCCTGCAATCCCTCTCATACATCAGATGCAGGCACCTAATTGCAGATTCCATGAGGGATGTGTTCTGCTGACCAGTACCATGTGACAGGCCATTATACACGAATGTGTTAAGCACTGATGCAATCTTCCTTTGCTGCTCCAGCCTGAATGGAACCTAGTCCACACAATGAAGTTCACAAATAAAGTACCACACATATGAAAAATTCATACAATGGAGGGGAGAGACGAAATATCTTGCCTGTTTTTCATAGAACTCTATGTCATCTAGAACTAACAGCAGATGAGCATAAGTGGCACTGAAAAGATAGAGCAGACATGACAAATCTTTTGAAATACCTTGTGGACCACAACTCAGAGATTTTATGTCCCATAAATCGCACAAGTCGTCATCCCCCCATCTAGAACTAGATTGAAATTCAATTAAGTCCATATCATCAACACCTGCTTGTGGCTTGCTTGTGAACTTATGAAAGACATTTACCCACCTACTACCTCCATCCTTACTGACTTGCTTTTGCTTTTTGCCAAAAACTTCATCTTTCTTTTTACTACATATTTTACTTGATCCAGGAAAGTGACCTTCAACTTCACTTGTATCACTGGGGAAAAGGGAACTTTCTAACACTCCCCATAGATCGACAAGAAATCCAGGAGTAAATGATAGCATGTTAAGAACAGGTAAGGATCCCACCAACGGATTCAACAGTGAGAATATTCTGAGCATGTACATGTAAAAGTATGATATATCAAGCAGTTCCAAACTTTTCATACATTCCATATTATTTGATCGTGCAGTTCTATTTTCAGAATTAACATCTGCATTTACTTTTGTCAAAAGATCTGTGAGATGCCTCTGTTCACAAATAGGCCTAAACATATCTATGAACGACATGCATAAGGGCATAGATGCCATTACATTTTTTAGCACAGCTGCATCTGAGGGCTCACAAGAAGTTACATAATCGCTTTGGATATCTTGGTTCTTCTTTTTACTGCATCCAACATCCCCAATCAAGGCCAAAAAGTTTTCTGCCAAAGTGACAACCACACGAACATATAACACATAGTCTAAACTCTGCCCAAACCAACCAGAATCCCTGACGTTGGTTTCACTCCCTGCTACCAGACATATAATATTTGTAAGAGCCCACCCAACTTCCGGAACAACCTTAGAGCCATAATCAACTGATGGCTGATCCAGGTCAAACATTCCCAATAAAATTGTGTCTTTCATGGCCTGCCATCAACTGCCACAATTCAATCAGTGCTGGATTCTTTTAAACCAATGAGAGATATTCATAGCAGATGTAAATCTCTTTGATACTAAAATGTAACAGCTGTTAATTTTTTAWTAGAACATTACAAYAAAGAAATATAATTTTCATTTTGAGTTCAACAATTGTGAAGGTGGAGGATCAAACTTCCAACCTCGATGACTAAAGAAGGGTAATTAGTGCTTTATCTACTAGCAACAAAGAAATACAACTTAATTGTCCATGATAGAACTGCCAAAGCGAGCGGCGGTAATTGGCATACATCTCCAATCAAGAGGTTGTGAGTTTGATCCCCCACCCCCACATGTTGTACTAAAAAAAAGTTCATAACAGAAATATGTTTAAATTTTTATTATATGTAAATTGATTAGGTACTTTATCCTTCGGCTGTAATTTTGCAAAATCAAGAAAACGAGCATATCTAAATTCATCATTTGTTCCAAAAAAAAATGTAGCTCATTTGTTATTATCTCCTAAACTTAAGCAACACAAGTAATTAAATAACTGACAGATACATTATACAAAGTGGCAGTGAGCCTCATCAGCAGGAAGCAAGTAAGCTATTCAGTTTCCATAGTATAAAACTTAATGAATAGTGGCCCTTACCAATAGAGTCCGGAAGCAAGGTAGCAAGATAGATCTATGCTTTACAGCTGGTATGAGAACAGGCGGCAGATTTTGAACAAGCCGAGGAATTGTAAGTATATACAAACAGTATTGTTCAGCAACATGATGCCCTTCCCACGAAGTAGTGTCGCTCATATCAAAATTTATTAAACGAAATGGTCGTAAAGCTAAAGTTATTGCACTCACGGTAATAACAAGTAAATCATCTGTGCGGACAGTACTGGTGGTCTGTGAGGACTGGAGAACATCCAATTTACACATGTATTTTCTGACTGATTGGTAAAGACCACTTTCAGAAGTTCCCAGATAATGAACTAAATCCTTCGATGCTGCATCAGCATCAAAACGATTATTCTCATTTACACTCTTCCACCCATTATGATCAGTTAAGACGACTATCAGGCGCATGGCTAAGGAGGTCATAACAACAATTTCTTGCTCCTTCGCATGCAACTTGTCAAAATGCACAAGAATAAATAAGCATAAAGAAATGAGCTTCCTTGATTGGTAAGTCCATATTCTTCTTTCTTCAGATGTACCCATAGCCAAGGAGCAAAAGTTGTTCTTTGATTCTTGACATGAAAATTGGTGATAGCATGTTAAGTAAAAAACAAAGGTATAATTAATTAAAAAAAGAAAAAAAAGATAAGTGATTGTACCAATGAGTTTAAAATATGGAGATTTCATCGAGAAAATTTTTCCTATGAACTGATTCTCTCTTTTTCGCACATCTTTTTAATTTCCCACCCCATGTGCTAATCATTTATAGAAAGCTTCCTAAAATGAGAGTTGATATGTGAGGATACTAGTACCGAGGATTTAAATGCTTCAATTTTAATAGTGAATCTAAGCATAGCTCAATTGGTTAAGACATATATTTCTCAAATCCTCTCATCCTCACAAGAAAAAGGAAAAAAAAAAAAAGAAAGAAGCTTCCATTTTAATTGTGTTTACTAAGGAAACGGGCAAATTAAGTTTTTCTACAAAACCATGTGTACATTTTAAACAAACGTGCAGAAGGAATCAAGGTGGTGTTTACAAACGTAATAAAAGTCTAAAATGACATGTTAAAATATAACTGAATAATAACATGAGTATTTGTAAAGATAATTCCATACCAGTAGAATTGATGCTTTCAAACAATATTTTGAAGCAATTCTTCATACAGTTTATATCTCTGGTCTGGATACTTCGAGGTCGTTTCAGAAAAGATGAGATAAAGAAGAGAAATGGTCTCACAATATCATATGAAATAAATGTGCTAGCCGATGCGCCAGAATGATTATTCACCAAATCTTCCCATCCTTCTTGAAGCTGCAAGGCAGCTATCTTAGTCACTCTGTAGCGCCTCCAAACTCTCTGCACGAATTAAAATATTAGTTCGTCATTCCAAATTTTGAAAACTTGCATCTGTTTCCAGGACTAGCTACATAGATGTGAAGTATAAACATCATACTTAATTCAATGACATAGAATATAGGCACAATGATACAATTCACGAACCATTGTCTCTGCATCTTAAATAATCAGTAGCTGTAGAACGTGCAAGATAAACTAAGAATGGCACTAGTAGACGGCTACAAGTAAATGCAATGCACCTGAATAAAGAGAGCCGCAGCTGCAGCTTTTCTTGCATGTTGACGTAGCTCTCTCTCCTGGATAACCTTCAGAACAAGAGCATCCCTTGTAATTTCTTTTGCACTCGCTCCCCTCAATGATACCTGAGAATGTCTCGTCAGGAATGTAAAAAGCTTAGAAGTGATCGAACTTCTTTATGGGTATTATATCCAATGTGTTCGTCCCAAAAAATAAACACCATGGCAAACTAACCAAATCAGTCACCAAATTCCATACTAATCCCATGCTAATTGCTCGCAAATCAGAGTAAGAGAAGAAATAGGCAGCTAGTGCAAAGAAACTATTCGGCTGAAATCAGGTATACAATGTGTGTTAATCTAAAATTCTACTATTATTGAAATTTCGTTTGAATAATAATGAACGAATAACTACCTGCTGAGGAGAAGATCATTGTAAAAGAAGAAATTCGTGAAACCGGTGAATTTGTGTAAACATTCAGGCAGATGATTTTAATTTTAATTCTATAGAGGGCGGACGAGAYAGAGAGAACCTGATGCTTGGAAGGTTTGTCCATGGACGTCTGGCAATGGTTAGAGCAGAGCTCCAATCCTCATTCGCTTGTCGTCAATGACGATTCGGTAAGCTAGTTATCGACGCGAGCGTACCAAACCCCTCCCCGACCAGCAGCTAGAATAGGAAATTTCAGAGATCATAACGCGATGGCTCAACAATTATCGACGATGCTACTTTTTAATTACTGCTACAGAGATCTCTGATCTGACGCAGATGATGAAAAATCCGTCGGAAGCTTGTTTCCATCGATGAGTGATCTTTTCACCAGCTACGCCATGAGGCACATAATCCTTCGTCGACGAAGAACAATACGCACCGGCGATATCTGCGGCGCCGGAGGTCAGCAGTTGAGAAATTTTGCAGTTATCCAGAAAATAACAATTGTATAAAATAGCTTATTTAACTTTACTCGTTTGGATCGGCGTAGCGCTCTTCGGTCAGTCAGATTTGGTAGCTGTTTTGTTTTTTTTTCCCCTAATTTTCACAGGGTAATATTACGGGGTCATTTCAGTAAAACACGTACAAATCTCCCTTCTATATAATATATAATATGTCAATTACCGCTGAACTAGTATTACGAATGTTAATTTTATAATATAATTGAAGTTTCTGGATTCTTTGTTTCCTTTCTGTTCTAAAAATAATAAAAAAAACTAAATTTCAATTTCTTAATTTTTTTTCTTTTTTAATACAATATATGATATGRGAATCGAACTCACAACTTCTTCATTGAATATATATGTCAATTAATGCTGAGTATACTCGTATTGGCTTCTTTTTTTTAATTTCGTCCTATCATTTTGGTTCATTTTAATTTGATGTCTAAAAGTTCCAATTTTGTCTATTTTTCYTTTTTTAGTACAACATGTGGGGTGGGGAACGAGCTCACAATCTCTTAGAGATTTATACCAATTAATACGGAGCATGCTCGTTTTGGCTTCTTGTTTTAATTTCATCCTATCATTTTGGTTCATTTTAATTATCACCTTTATATGTGAGTATATTTGGTTGATTCAAAATTGAGTTCCTATTAGGATGAGTCGACCTATAGAGAAACAAGGTTTGCGAATGAAAGCTTGCATAAAAAAGATAGACACTTCGATGTTTAAATTAGTATTAGTACAAGGAATCGATCTGAAGACGAGCTAATCATAATTGCAATCTACGTGTAGAGTCTACCCTTATATTTATAGACRTTCAATAAAGTTACCCACTCATTGACCACTTTGTATATYGTGCAAATTCCGACGTGAATTAAGTGGTAGTGTTGAGTTGGGAGTTAAATAGCAGTTGAATAGTAGTTATAGGTGATGTCAATTACTGCTTAGCTCGCTTTGATACTAACTTTTTTTATTGGTCTAAATGTCACGTCATTTTTTCATCACCTAACATATTATATTCGGTTAATTATATGAATTAATTTGAGAATTACATAATAGAAAATTACTGACAATTTTTTTAGCTACCTTAATTAGTTAGTTTGGTACACTTATCTACAAACTCAAATATTTTTATATACAAATCCTCCGTTAATTTGGTATCAAATATATTAGGTTACAATGTGCCTACCCACGATAAATATGTGCATAAGAAAAAAAAAAATCTTATTTTCACCATTTGTTTTTTTCTCCTTTCTTATGGTTAAAATGTAACGACGATGAGTAAAAATCTTTTCTTATCACATTAAACTTTGTTGAGTTCACCTCGATAATTGATAAAATACATAAATTACAATTTTATTAGGTAATATTATTCAATTAATTAAAACATTAATAATTCTATTTAATATTTCGATGAGTACTTATTCGAATAACACTACAAAAAAAAGTAGTTTTTTCCTTTTCTAAATATGCTCAAAATTGACACCAAACATGCGATGTTCTTGACCARTATATAGTTGGCCACAAATCTTTAAATTTAAAGTTTAGTTGAAAATATAAAATTTATCATTCATTCAGAGGGAAGGCTTGAAATTTTACAAAAAAAAATTGGATTTTATTTTAGAACATGGGAGTCTAAGAAAAGGGGGGAGACAGGTCAAAATTTTAAAAATTTTCCATTCATTRTATTATTTGTGTTACTTCATTCTTAACCACTCGTTTAGAAATGATTTTGACACGACTTAAATTACTTTTATCGCTCTCATAAAAATATTTGACAATAATATATAAATAAATTTTTAAAATGATAAAAATAATTTTAACAGTAAAATTACTCTCAAACCTATCTTAAATCTCTATCATAATTTAGTGTTTAAATTTTAGATTAGTAAAAACGAAATAAGAAAAGAAAAAGAAATTGTCCTAACGGATAAACCTTGCTAGAATAGAACGGTATAGCCGGGCCCAACTTGACACGTGGGTGCACACATGGAAGTCAGTCACGGCAAATATCAAACTGCCGACCTCTGCTACAAAACGCACGTGTCATCGGCCACGGAGACATTAGCAGCTTGACGACGTGTCGTCTGTCACTAACGAACACATGGCCTCCCATTAAGCACTCCCACACGACGTGTCGGCTCCAAGGCGCTCGTACTCAAAAGCGCGCGACTGGTGATTAAATAACTCCAATGCCACAGAGCAACTTAAAAGTCACAACAGAGATTCAGAAAACGCAACAAGAAATCAAAATCGCAATCGATTGAAAGAAATTCCGGTGAAGAATTAGACAACGTCGAATTTAAAATTCCAATGGCTTCGTCGAAGGAATTGAATGAGAGAGCGGAGGCGGCGGCCAGGCTCGCAGCTTCCGATCTGAGAGACGCAAACAGAGACACGCGTGGAACGGAGAGACAAGCTACGGTGGAGGTCACGGAGGCGGACCGGCCGGCGGCGCAAGATCAGCAGCAGAAGCCCGGCGTGATCGGTTCGGTGTTGAAGGCGGTGCAGGACACGTACGAACACGCGAAGGAAGCGGTGGTCGGAAAGAGCCACGAGGCAGGGGAGAGAGCGAGGGAGGATGAAGAGAGAGTGGCGGAGACGACGGAGGAGTACAGAAGTGCAGCGGCGGAGAAGGCGAGGGAGACGAAGAACGCCGCCGGAGAGACGGCGGCGTCGGCGAAGGGGAAATTAAGCGAGTACGGAGAGAAAGCAATAGATAAGACGGGAGAGTACAAGGATTACACGGTGGAGAAAGCGAAGGAAACGAAGGACGCGGCGGCCGGAAAAGCAGGGGAATACAGAGATTACACGGCGGAGAAAGCGAAGGAAACAAAGGATGCAGCGGCGGGAAAGGCCGGCGAGTACAAGAATTACGCGGCGGATAAGGCCGGCGAGTACAAGGATTACTCAGCGGAGAAGGCTAGGGAAACGAAGGACGCAGCGGCGAGAAAAGCAGGGGAATACAAAGACTACGCGGCGGAGAAGGCGAGAGAGACGACGGACTACACGGCGGAGAAAGCAAAAGAAGGAAAAGACACGACGGTGAGTAAACTCGGTGAACTGAAAGATTCAACGGTCGATGCCGCGAAGAGAGCCATGGGCTACTTGTCCGGCAAGAAAGAAGAAGCCAAGGAGAAGACATACGAAACCAAAGAAGCCACAAAGGTAATCAAAATTACTTCTTAATTAAAATCTAAATTAGTGATTCTTAACCTCTAATTTAAGAAGTAATTTAGATTAATTAAGAAGGAATTTTGAATGGCAGGAAAAGATGGGCGAAGCGGAGGAGGAAACGAGGCGGAGGGTGGAGGAGCTGAGGCTTCAGGGAGAGGGAAGGGACAGAGAGGAAGCAAAAGTGACTCTCGAACGGGAAAGGTAAAACGCGATTTCTCTTCCAAAAAAAAAAAGGAAAATTTTTCTGCCGTTTCTGATAGTTTTTGAATTGTGGATATTCCGGCAGAGGCGGCGGCGGAGAGGGGGCGGTGACGGTGGGTGCGGCGGAGACGCGGCCGGGGGCGCTGGCCTCAACTTTGAAGGAGGCGGACGACATGTCGAGGCAGACGAAAGATCGTCAGGGGAAGATGTGAATCTGATCTGAAAATTTTAAGAGGAATGGGATTTTGTTTGTTGCTCGTCGTCGTCGTCGTTTTCTGCAGCAGTTTTACTTTTTTTTAAAAAAATAATTTTCGTATTTTATGACCGTATAGTTGCTGCGTATTTTGGTTCTGCTGTATCAAGGAACTGTGTAAAAAAAATGTTAAAAACGTTGATGTTAATCATGTTTTTTTCCTTAAACAGTTGTTAATAATGTTTCTTCTTGAGCAAAAATGGGTGCAGTTCTCCATTTTTTTAACCGCCTCTAGTTTTATTTCTAATTTTGTAGTGTATTCTTTTAGTTACTGTTCGTGGTTTTTAGAGTATTATCATTATATTTCGACTAATGCTTGATCATATATTTCAAGTCTTAAATCAGTTTAGGTTACTAAGATCCATTTTCGTTGTGTTTTTGATTTTTCAATTGGGGTATGGGGTTTGAGAGAAATATGTGTTAATTACTGTGTGTAAAAAGAAAGAAACATGAGAAAATTCAAAAGAAATAAACGAGATGAAATTAAGCAGTTTTCCATGAAGAGAGTTGCCGGCGCATGGGGATGGTGTCTTTGTTTGGAAGGGTTTTTTTCCAGTGGACTAGGAATCGCTTCATGAAAATATTTAGAAAATATGTTTGGAAAGGTTTTCCAATTGACTAGGAACCGCTTCATGAAAATATCAGAATATATGGATAGTTTTTTTTTCCACCCTTTTTGCACGATACTTTGATCAATTTTATTTGGTTATATATTGGATAATTATGTAATTTACAATTAGGCTAATATTTAGAATGTGCCTAATGTTAGACCCAAGTTAAAATTTTAGAGTTTTTTAGACATGGTAAAAATTATCCATAGGATACATATTAAATATAATTAAAAAATTATAGTTAAAAAATATGACGTGGCAAAAAAGCGGACAAAAAAATTAACCAACTAGCATTGTTTAACGAACATAGTTCGACCGACAAAAATAACAGCTAACTTGATAAAAAAGTAAAAAAAAAAACGCCTTATTTTCTTTCACTTGGCTATTTAATTAGGTTAAAAGTCATGATTATTTTTCATTCTTTTATGTTCTACCAAACAAATAATTAAGATGGTTTTTATTTTTATATTTATTATATTTAAGTGGCATTCGCAATATCAATTGTTTTCAATTTAAATATAACTCAAGGTGAATTCAAATTCTCACTCCAATAATTAAATACCATTTTCTAAATTTGTATGATATTTTTACTAACAATTTTAAAAACACTGACAAAATAACCTTAATAATTTTTTATATTTAAAGAATGCTGGTAAAAATGTATTTCATTTTTAAAAAATAATATTCCCAAAAGCATTTCCAAACAAAACATAATAACAAAATATTGGAGGTGTAATGTTATGCATGAATCCAGCTGATTACACAAAATGGATAATATCATTTAAATACTTTGTTTTAAATTTAGAGTAGTTAAGTATATTTTAATTATATATTTAGCTTCATGTAAAATGTAGTATTTACACTAATTACATACACCATTTTTTAAAAATAGAATCTTATCTTTATCGTCTGAAACACCAATTATAATTAAAAATAACATTTAACACTTTCTTTTTAGTGGAAATAAAGTTTCAACGTTACCAATACATACTCGAGAATAATGATATTATAGTATACTGTATGTACAGAGATAATATCATTAAATATAATGTAAAAACATAAACTTGCCGAAATAAATGAGGACATCAATTTTAATTTTTAAAATTTTGAAATTTTTGCTTTTTAGAATATTAGATCACAAAGATATATAAAAGTTTCAGAATTTAAAACACATACAGGTACACATTCRATCATGTCTGCTCAATTACCCTCCAGGCCCAAACAAAATAATTTTTAAGATTTAAGATAATAGGAAATGTAGTATAATCTAAATAAAAAAAATAACATTTTAAAAAGGGATAATATATAGACTCACAATGACTTCTGTAATTAAATTTAAATTAAAATTTTTGTTAGTAACTAATAAAAGACAAATAAGTATGTTTTATTAAAAAAAACAAGTAAAACCAACTTATTTTGTAGTATAGATATACAATATTTCTTTTATTAACAAAATATATATATACACCACAGATATTCATCATTGTTGGAGTGTTTTCTAAATATTATTTGAGTATTCAGCAAYAACATTACATTCAATTTATACAACTTAAACAAGTGTGTTCATAGCATAAATTAATAATTTTTTAAACTTTGAAACTAAATAGACTCTAGATTCTAGAAACAAAGATGTAAACTTTTAGAATTTAAAAAATATATCCAACAAATATAATATCATGGAAATACAAAATTTACTGATAAATAATTCTTGTAAAGAGATTTTGTATTTTATTTTTTAAAACCTAATCTCATCGTCCAACTCTCTGTTCTACTTTCCCATGTCCGATTATTGGGAGCGGCTACACATTTAGTAATTTTAAAAAGTTGGATGGATAGGGAGAAACTACAAAATTATTTCAAATTTGTATTTAGGGGACTTGTAGATTTACGAATCTACATCCAACGGTTATTAGGAGATAACCACATTATGGCAGCCTCATTCAATAATTCATCTTAATCTGCCCCTTATATCCACCTTTTAATAATGTTCACGAATAAATAAAATCTTTATTAAGAATTTTATAAATATGCTGATTCTAAATTACCAAGAGCATATATAGCCAACAAGGTGAAATTGAGCAACAAGAGACAAAGGATGAGTAGCAAAATATACCAGTAAAAAACACAACCCACCAAACAAATATTACGGAACAAATATTTTCATAAAAATCTTAAAAGATTGGGAGGAATATAGAAGGCACATAAAAGTAGTAAAATAATGTATACAAATAACAATTTGATGACATAGCTAGCGTGTAAACTGGTTGGGTTGGTCAATTCAAGATTCATACATGCTTGAATGAACCATCTGCAACATTCAATCAAGCCTTGAAATGTTTTGGTTGGGTTATCAAATTTATAAATTTGTCTAAATTGTACAACACATAACGACTAAACTAATCTCTCTTAAAACTCAAATATTAAAAACACATTGATCTGCTTCTAGCTACCACATGAATATGACTGGGTTGGATCATATTTGAAGCAGGGATACTAAATCTCCAATTAATGCCTCTTTTAAAGGTACTTTGTACCTTTTCAAATCAACAACACAAATAACTAAACATCTAGTGCCAAAAATAATCCCAAGAAACTTATAACTCTCCTCTAGAAATCATTTCTTACTTGTAATTACTTTTGTTTTAGCTGTCTTTTTATTCCTCTTTCACTCTCTGAAGTTTGAATCTGGAACAATTTTGTTACTTTTCATATATCAATGAAAAGTTTGTTTCTGGTTAAAAATAAAAATGAGAAGAAAAACCCAAGAAATTTAAACTAAAAAGTTGAAGGATAAAACCTATAAGCCAGCTTGGTGAGGTGGAAACATATCACGGCCTTCACCAAATGCAATCTTTGTTTTCAAGATTCGGACTCACTTCAGTGGGGGAAAATGTAGTGGTTTGGCTCGATAGATGATGATTACATTGAGAATGCAATGAAGTACGGACTCAACTACATGCTAATAATAAGGAATGAACTTGCCACCAAGGTAGAAAAATTAAGACAGCAGTTGAAGGAAAGAAAGAACAGGGCCAACAAAATCTGTGGAGTTGAAAGACCAAGGCTCAGATTCTTACCAAGGCAAGAAAGAAGAAATGAGATTTCTAGAATTTTATGCCTATCACCAAGGATCACCGGCAGAATTGTGAGTGCTTGCGTATGCGGTTCTTTGCAGAGCACAGAATTTTAATGTTACTAGAAATATATTCTTCTTGTTGCCAAAACCAATTCCACCAAACAAATTTTCCAACTTGCTTCCTCTCCCCTTTTTAAAATTCAGGTGTGCATTAGTAAAAGCTTAGAGAAAATAATCAGAGATTTTCGGTGGGAGGGGTGGAGAAGGGGGTGAGAGAGGTTCCCATTTGGTTAATTAGGATATCTTGAAACCTTTGGAGGCAAGGCAGGGGGTTGGGATTCGGGAACTTCAGATTTAGTAATGAGGCCTAATTGACTCTAGATGGTTGATGGCGTTTTTTCCAAGAGTCTAATAACTTGTGGCGTAGGATAATCACAAGCAAATATTTATCACTGATTACAAGCAAATATGGATCACATCCTTTTGATTGGGTCGTCTCAGCCTGTGGTCCAATGATTTTAGGTAAATGCCCAATTGAAGGCTATCCTTCTATATCCCTTTTCTCTATATTCTTTTTTTTTCTCTTGCTCCATTTGGAGATAGTACTACAACCTATTTATAGGAGAATTGTTGGGTGGATGATAAACCTCTATTTAGTAGCCTCTACGCAGAAGTCCTCCGAGAATTCCTCTTCTCTTTCTCTGAGTCTCCGTCAGTCCATGACGAATGGAGAATCTGGTGTAATACCAAAGGTGTTGAGGAAAAATCTAATTCATTATATCCTTCTTTACAAGGGAAGAGGGGTATTTAAAGGGGAGAAAGGCGAACGGCTAGTTTACCTATAAACAGAAAATAACTAAAACTTAAAAACTAACGGCTAACTCTAACTAAAACTAGGAAACAGAATAAATGATTTTATTCATTACATCAAATTCCCTCCCCCTAGCCAATTGAAATGAGTCAGGTGCTTGATACTCATATATATCTGTGACATTGAAAACCAGATGTATCCTCAGATTGTCGGGTAAATTAATCCGGAAGGCATTATTGCCATATTGCTTCAAAATCTCAAAGGGTCCAATCTTCTTGTCGTGCAGTTTGCTATAGGTGCCTTTAGGAAATCATGATTTCTTTAAGTGTACCATGACTAGATCACCTACCGCAAATGTTTTTGGACGCCTATAATTATCAGTCGCTGCCTTGGTAAGGTTGTGGATGACTTTTGTTATAGGTGCCTTGGTAATTCTACGATCCTTTCAGCCATCTGTTCTGCCTCTGCACTAAGATCAACAGAAACAGGTAGGTTAGCGAGGTCCACTATTAGTCTAGGGATCTTAGTGTAAACGATTTCAAAGGGACACTTCCCTGTTGATCGATTTTTCATGTGATTGTACACGAACTCGGCTTGAGCAAGTTTGAGATCCCATTGTTTAGGTTTGTTGTTTCCCAAACATCGAATTAGGTTGCCTAAGGTCCTGTTAGTGACTTCTGACTGTCCATCAGTCTGTAGGTGGGCTGTTGTACTAAACTTTAAGCCT